AGATTTTCCGACTAGTATTGAAATACTAGTCGGGAGATTGAGATAAATAAATGATGAAATAAATCCTAAGAGATAGGATTGTGAATAGAGATGCCTTAAGTAGTCCTAAGAGATACTTAAGGGTCGGAATGTATGAGCTCTAAGATATGTTAGGAGTAGGCCTTAAAGGCTACTCAAGGTAAAATGATTCTAGGCATAGAATTGGCTTAGGAATCGGATAACTTGACTAAGAGCGAGGCTCTAACAAATGTAGATTGACTAAGAGCGAGGCTCTAGCATAAATATGGATTGACTAAGAGCGAGGCTCTAGCCAGATGTAGATGACTAAGAGCGAGGCTCTAGCATAAATGTAGATTGACTAAGAGCGAGGCTCTAGCCAGATGTAGATGACTAAGAGCGAGGCTCTAGTATGAAGGTAGGTTGACTAAGAGCGGGGCTCTAGCCTAATGTTGATGACTAAGAGCGAGGCTCTAGCATAAATGTAGATGGCTAAGGGCGAGGCTCTAGCACGGTATGATAATAAGATTGAGCGAGGCTCCATGATGGCTAAATAATTTAATTAAGAAATGCCCCATGACGGTAATTTAATTTACCGAAGGTTATAACAATCGTGACTAGTAGTCACGGGGAAATAGGGATGGGCATTTCAAAAACGAATATGGGCCACGGGCCGACTACCTGACTCTATATAAAGTAAGTATATTTTTAAAAAGGGGTAACCGAGGGTTATGGCCTATAATATAATACCACCCTAGATTGAGGGTCTTAGGAATTGAAACATTGATTATACTTAGTATAGTTGTCATTGTACTTGTCAAATGCTTCCAAGTACTGACCTCCCCTTCACGGGGGAGGCCACCTCACAGTTTCAGGTAGGAGTTGAGCTTGCTACCAGTGCTCGTTGCTTCGAGAAGATCTAGGAGAGAAGACGTGGTTCGTGCTTCCTCCGTTTCAGTTTCAAAATAATTATAATAATGCTCATGGATATTATTTTCAGAATACATATTTTTGGGGGCTTGTATGCCTAATTATGCCAAGTGTGGCTTGAACACTTGTATTAACTATTTTCCGCTGCTTTAAATGAATATTTTACATTATGTTTGTTTATGGATGTACTATGTGTGAATGGTATTCAAGACGCCTTGTATAGTATGGATGAGTCGGACTGCGGTTGACTATTTGTACTGTACGGCGGGTTGTTGACGTGTCCGGGTAAGTCCGGGGCGTGACAATTTAATTGGTATCAGAGCCTTAGTCCGTAAACATCATAATGAAGCTTCAAAATTCTTTTTGAAAAATGAATTTGAAAACCATGAGCATAAGAAGTTTTGTACTTATGGAACTTTTGGTACTTGAGTTGCAATGTCTCTAATTGTTAAGATGTTACCCTTAACAATTGGTATGGCGATAATTTGAGCCAAAGAATGTCTTTAAGTGCCTATCCGTCACTTGAACACAATCCTTTCAGATCACTATTCGTTCACCAAGCAGTAGCCCACCCTCATACCGCTTCCGAGACTACTAGCCATTGTTATCGTCCAGCCATGTTTCCGGTGAGTTGAAGCGAGCAGAGACTGAAGACTTTCACACTAACCCAGAGTAAGCCAAGGGGGTTCTGGTCGTCAGAAGACCCTTAATCCTGTGCCCGCATTCAAATCCGTCTGATTCAATCCCTTCTTCCGAACTCCAAATCCTCTATATCGCAGCCCTTTCGCCATCATTGCTCGCTGCCCAAGCTACTAACCACCGAAAATGGTGGGACTAGGAGCCATCCGACGGGAATCCTCTTCTCAGAGAACCAGGACTTATCACACCTCTTCTCAAAGCCGCCCTTCACTCCACTGAGTTCTGGTAGCCCAACAGCAGTCCGGTGAGCAAAGGAGAGGTTAATAGTGACCCAACCGGACTGTAACCATGTAGAATATACCTCATATGCCTGCATTCAACTCTGTTCAGTTCAAGACCATCATCCAACCCAATTCCTCCATGGCCCAGCTCGTTCACCTTCATTGCTCGCTGTCCGGGTTACTAACCGCCTTTACACGTCGGAGACAGGGTTTTCTGACGGTTGTCCATCATCAGAGAACCAGGACTTAGCAAAAAACCCATCTCAAGCCCGCCCTTCACTCCGCTGAGTTCCGGCAGCCCTGCAGCAGTCCGGTGAGAAAAAGATAAGTAAAAAGTAACCCAGCTGGACTGTAACCACACCTCTGACTTCGAACCTCGCTTTCCAGCCCCATAAACTTCCATCTCCGGCTCGTTCACCATCGTCACTGGCCCCCATCTCAAAACCAGTACCCATGGTTACTAGCTGTCATCAATGGCAGTCTCGGTTGTTTCCGGTGAGGTCTAGGCCATTGGAGAACATACCTCCATAAACACCTCAAAACACCCACCAAAGTGGTGTTGGAGCTTCAAAAAATCAGAAATATGTACCTGAAACCCGCCGGAGCCAAGAGAGGCCCGGCGGCGGCAGCCACTGTGAGCGGTGGTGCCGACTTGAGCCGTGAGTGGGGAAGAGTCCAGCCGTGAATGGCTAGAGAGAGACGCTCTCAACTTCCCCTCTGCGCTGAGAGACGATGATTTCTTAATAACACAGTTAACTCTATTTTAAGATGCACAGATTATTTTCTCTTAATCTGAGCTTGAATTATATTATTGCAATTGATCTTCTAAATTAAAAAAATGTGTGGAGGTCATGTTTATCTCATTTTTTCCAAAATTACATACAAATTACAAAACCTCATCCTATAAGAGATTACAGAACTTGTACAAATATTCAAAAAAGAAGATGATTTGGTGATCGTCTGAACACTTTAAAAATTAAAGTTATTGTTCATCATCGATCTACATTTGGCCATTTTTAACGGAATTAGGAACCATGCCCCTCTACTCCCCCCTCTAGTCATAACGGAATTAAAACACTAAAAATACTTCAGTAAGAAATGGAACACTTTCAACCACATGAACACTTCCCATACTTTTTCTTTAAATAAAACACCTTTTTGATGTTACGTGGGTGTGCTCTTAGTAAAAAGTTTAAAACTCGAACTGAAAAACAATAATATTTGGGACTTGGGAGTAGGGAAATATCATTTCACTGAGAATTAAAAGTACGAAATCAAGAAGGTAATAAGGGGTCCTTTTACCCGACACGAAGAGTGCTCGATTTTTAATATCTCTTGTTACTATGTTGTCACGAAAACTGACATTAAAAATGCATTATAATCCAAACAAAAAGTGTCATTTCCATTAGTGATGATACAAATAGATGGGGGTTTTACAAATTTATTTATCATCGTTTGGTGACTCATGTTTCCTGATTATCCACCTTATGAACTATGTCTTTTATCAAACATGTTACTTTTGATTTCATTAGTCATTTGACCACCTTATGGTTTTTATGATGTACAATTAGAGTCGTCTAATAAATTTATAGGCCCTGTTCTAAATACCAAAATGGGGCACACATAAGAATTAAAATCACAAATAATAAAAAAAACACAAAGTTTAACAAAATTAAAAATAACAAAAATTTTTTACTTTTGAAATTAACAAATATGGAGTAACAATTAGCAAATTAAGAATGCCAATAACAAATGTGAAAAGAAGGTCAAAAGTAAGAATGTGAAGTGAGCAGGGCAACATGCGATTAAAAAGTTTGAGGCAAATAGGTGAGATTGCGAGAACAGTGAGAGAAAAGTAGAAAACGTGAGGACAAATTGCGAGAATGGAGCAACGGAGATGAGAGCAGGAGAGGCAAATAGCTATTGTAAGGATGTGCCTTCTTCCAGATAAGCACCTTAATCTTGCTTCTTAAAATTGCATCCTGAATAATTCCTTCCTGAATTAAGTCAGAGTTAACATCTGTGAAAAGTTTCTTGGGTAGAGTAGAAACCCATTGCTTGCAGTAATCTTTAATTCGATAAAGAATAGCGCCAACTTCGAATTGTTTATCTTCCCAAATCAACTCATTATAAGCTTTCCAAATAAACCAAGTTATTATTCCTGGTAAATTGGCTTTCAGAACACCATCCAATGAATTACCTTTTGCTGAGAGCCACCAGCAAAAAAACATTTGAAGAATACTAGGATTTAAAGTTTTGTGAATGGAAAAAAATCCCATAAAGTAATCCCAGATTGGTCTTACACTCTTACCTTGGAACACGTATAAAGGCAATGAGACTGGGATTGTTCTGTAATGAGATATATGGGGCATTATGGCCAGTTGGATAGAGAACCTTTGTAGATTTTCCGGAAAAGGCAGAAATTTACTGAGCAGCCAGCTTCCAAGAGAAAAGCTTGATTTTCAAGCTTTGATGTTTATGTCATGCTTTCTAAAAAGAAAACCTGGAAACTGAATTTTCACACACTAAATCGTACTTGCACAAATTTGACCATTAATATCTTTCATTCCTTATTAGTAAAAAATTATAAAAAATATATTTTCAAAATTTAGAATGAGAAGAATTTAATAATATTTTTTAAAAATTTAATTTAAAATACATTAATAAATAAAATATAGTCAAAGTAGAATATATGAATAGTGCAAAAAGTCCAATGTTGCAATTAAAAAAGAACGGAGGTAGTATGAAGAAGCTAGAGGGAAAACCCCATGAGGATCAGGCTTCCAGATAAGTCTTTGATTTGCATCAATTTCAGTATTTTCTTCTCCCAAATCATTTACCTTGCATAATTGTTTTCATATAGGAGAGTCTTGAATTCTGGGATGCATATCATTCCTGCTATATCTATGATGCATGTAATTTGCCCAGAAGGATGATCCTTCCCTCCAAGCCCACCAGGCTTTGAGTTGAAAAGCAGTTTGAATATCTGCTGCGATTAATCATGCATGTAACATCCACATATTTAAGTGCCTGGTAAAACACTAAAACCCAATCATTTAGCATTTTAATTGCAATTATAATTCTAACTAATATTTACGTGTCCGACTTAACGTACTAGCATTGTTGACCATAAAATCAAAGACGCCTGCTTAAATTTTTCCTTCCAGAATCCAGGGTATGAAGTCAATCATTAATTATACCATCCTTCCAGGGTATCAAGTCAATCATTAATTATAACAGAAGAGGCTTGATGAATTTTATACAGTAAATAACAAGGACTTAATGCGCAAAATTTATACACGAGTGATGGGTTTGACATTCTAACCCGCAATTTATACAAACTGCAAACTGGAGGGTTACAAAATTCATTCACAACCTAAAAAGATATCAAATGTACTCGTCAAGTGCATTTCCTTCCGCATGTATGTTTCTGTTATGTCTATCAATCTCGTCCACAGCAGCAAACATTGACGGGAAGGGCTGCGACTCTGGGTGGGGAAACAATAGCTTGAGTCGGAAAGCATCAACCCCATTCAAGTAATAGCGGAAAAGCCTTTTCGCTCTGATAAACCCTAGACGCCCATACAGTGCAAGTGCACCTTTATTGGTGACTTCTGCTTCAAGAGTCACCTGAACAAGTTCATAAAATAATGCCTCAAATTAACAGTTTGATTCACTTATGTGGATGAAAAGTGGTAGGCCATTGAGTATATGTGATGATTTGGGAAAATAAATAAATCCAATGCCCACGGAAAAAGAAAGGCAATCTATCAATGCCTGGCATGATAGTCATCGCGATTTGAAGAACACAACTTTTGATCCCTCTGCTACAGTCAATTTTTTTATTTTACGTCAAGCCCTCTTGTGTGAACAAATAAAATCTTAACTTTTTCAAACCGATGCTGTTAGGGTTCGTTTGGAACCTATGAAATGCCATGGGAAAGAAAATAAGACGGGAGTCTAAGGAAGGAAATATTGTACGGAGTAATTGGGAGGAGAAATTTTATAAATGTTCAATTCAATAAATCAATTTTCGGTACTAATTTGAACTCATTTTATTTATGTACCTCTATTATATACTATCCTCCGTTCCATAAAAGTTGCAACAGTTTGACTTTCACGTTTGCCAATGCGCAACTTTGACTGTAATTATATTTATTTATGTATTAGTAAACATTAAAAAAAGTTAATATATTGGAAATTTACATTAATACAAATTTATTAATATTTTATACATAATATTTTTATTATATATATTATTAGAAAATCGTAGTCAAAATGAGGTGTGTGAATAGTGCAGAAATTCCAATGTTGCAACTTTTATGGAACGGAGGAAGTACACAATAGAAACTAAGTAATCTAAATATATGTAAAATCTCAAAAAGTTTTAATTAGACTTGAATTTCATTTATATTTTCCAAAGAAACCTAACCTTCAAGGATATGTTTGGAACCCATAAATACAGACAGAAACTGGGAAAGGAAAATATTGAGAAATTTGGAATGAATGAAAATATGACGAAAAGAAGTCAATGATTCAATCTCAATAAATTTATAGCAAGTCGCTTTATTTCAAATGCATAGCATGTCCTCTGTTAGTAGCATTACCTCTTCACAGCCTGATTCCATCATCACCTTGATAGATCTTGTGACAAGTTCTGTGGCTACGACAGGGAAAGTGTGCCATTAATAGTTTAATACACAACAGTTTAAAACTAAATCATCTTTTGTTTATACAATGGAAAGGGAAAAACTAAAACATCTAATCATACTGAAAATTGACATTTGATAGTCTTATATGTGATATGTATAGAGTTCACATCATGCACATCACGATTAAATGCAGCCCAATTTCTGTGACCTTAAAGTGTTCATGACCCCCAAAGTTACTCATATATGTAAATTGATTTATCAACAACTATGAGGAACCACGTGAAACATGATCCTCATCCATACTTCGACATTCTGTACTCAGTATTAAGCATGTGGAGGATGAACTGAATTATGGCTGTGTGTGAATGTTCATCTTGAAGTCTTGGACATCCTGTTGAGTATCTTACATCCGCTAGGCACCAATTTAGAATCTGTTATATAAGTTTCTGGTAAACCATAAATGACATCTCTTGAGGATCCTTTTAGGATGGGTAGTGTCCAATTCAATCTACCCTAATTTCCCAATCGTGATAATGGTTTGTCATATTAAACATAGTCTTGAACATAAATAAATCAGGCTCAAGCATCAAGGTCACAAGGTGCAACCGTGCAATAGACAAAAAATCATTATGTATCCTACTTTCCCAAGGTAAACCATAAATGACGTCTCTTGAGGATCCTTTTAGGATGGGTAGTGTCCAATTCAATCTACCCTACTTTCCCAATCATGATAATGGTTTGTCATATTAAACATAGTCTTGAACATAAATAAATCAGGCTCAAGCATCAAGGTCACAAGGTGCAACCGTGCAATAGACAAAAAATCATATGTATTACATGGAGTAATAGCATTAATGGAATTTGGGAAGTAGTGAGTGAAGCGTTTCAATTTTGCAGATTTTGGCTTCAGTAGTCTTCGAGAAAACCCCAAAACTAGGAGTAATACTAGCTAAAAGTGCCAAATAAGAATATATGTTTAAAATTCTCAAAATAGGATAAAAAACTTGTGAGTTTACAAAAAACTTGTGAGTATATGACAGACAGGCGCTGCCAACTGCCGGCTTTGCCAGGCAGCCACTAAACCCTAAGCGAGATTGGTAAATTCTAGAAAGGCTAAACCAAAATCTTAAAGGGAATAGTAAACCCTAAACCTTAAGGGGTTAAAAGTAATTAGGACTCTTACTTTGGGAATTTAAAGCATGTACTCCTATTTTGGTACATTTACAATGTTTTGCTCTTATTGGGACAATTTGTTTTAGACTTATTATATCAAGAAATCCTGCTTTTTGTAGGAGAAAAAATGTTTTCTTATGGTCTTTTTGTAGGAGAAAAATATTTTCTTATGATACATGGAAATATGGAATTACCCAGGAACCTATAACATTCTCTATAACTCCCAAACATACTTATCCCCTCCGCTCTCCTCTTTCTTCTACTGACACACACATGCAATCAATGTGAGAACAACGTAATACTATCAACAAACAACTCAGATAAGTGTGGAGCATTTATATTTCACAATCTCAATAGACCAATAGACAACAGATTAATAGAAAAATATTAGTTGAGATAGTGCACTAATTCCCCTGTGCTAAATGCCTAAATCATATGGTATAGGATGAGCTGGTCCAGCAGGAAGGCTATGCAGGTTTGGGCTCCACTTCAAGTCATGAAGCACCAGGTTTGCATCGGAAGTTAGGCCTGTGTGGTGATCCCATAAGAAGGTGCTTTATATTCCAAACGACGCTGCTAGGGTGGCAGCATACATTGCCTGTATGTATGCCTAGAAATCAGAAGCCTAGAAGGTAGTTGACTAGTTTCCTATAGTAGTATGTATAGTAATAGACTGTTGTAAGAAAGTGGCTTCCTGCTACAATTAATAGGAAGGATTCCTGTTAAGATTGCGTGTGGTAAATGCAATACAGAAAGCTTGTTTTATACGTTAGAAATAGAAACTTCAGGCTTTTGATCACTGATGTTTTTTTATATGGTGAATCTTATAAGCTATAAGTCTATAACTACACTGTATGCCCATTCTTAAGCAAAACATTCTTTTTCGTTCTGAAGGCTTTCCTAAGATTTAGCAGACACAAGAAGAATTAACACCAACAATGTCAATAGCACAGTTTACCTATTTTTTCTTTGAGCTGCTATGATTCAGATTTCAGAGAAAGTAAGGTACATTATCATGTTTCCCCACAGGCCACACACACTTTCACACTATCCCACACAAAAAAGCAAGCAATTTGAAACATTTTGGATTTTATGATCTTGTGAAACAGAAAGAGAAACCAAATATGATATCTAAATCCTCCTTGAGAGAAAATACGAAAAGCTTATACATTTTCAAAGCAAAATACCCACGAAAAGTTAAATCCTCCATTTGAGAGAAACTCAGTGTGTCAATTCGATAAAACCCAAGATTTCCACATGTGAAGTCCTTTTCCAGTTCGCCGCCATTCTTAACACTGAGTAAAAGAATTTAAAGAAAACATGGAACTTTAAGGAAACTCACCAATGCCTTTCCCTCTATAAGACTTGACAACGACAAGCATTGCAATGTAACCTCTGAAAGTCCCTCTGTGGTCACCCATCTTGCAAACCACAGTCCCCACACATCTACCATCATGGAAAGCCTGAACAGATTCAAAATCATCAATGAAAAACGAAATGATAATGAATCGATTCCTCACCATCGCCGAACGAGGCAAAGAAGCAGAAATTCTTACCAGGAAAGAGAGGTGGGGCCATAGGTAGACAAAGTAGCGGTACGTGAAAATTGAGTAGGGTTCGCTAAGCTCTTCATCAACCAGATTCATGATGAGAGGCAAGTGATGCTCGCCCCCATAATTAACGTACTTAATTTCTGACGCATCACAAATGACATTTTGTTCTTCTTTAGCTTCCTTCCCCTCCTCCATCTTTACTTTTGCTGCTTGAGCGAATACGCGGAATTGAGGTTTATTTGTGTTTTTGCAATGCAGCGATTCCTCGTTTTCTAATTGGGGTTTTGGTCATTTTGGACACCTTTTTATTTTATTTTGAATTTCAAGGCAAAGTTGGGGAAGTAGATCGAAAAGTCTTAAAGGAATGTTATGAAATAATGTTGCTTCTAAATTTCGAAACTTCGGGCACAACTAGTTCAAAATATAATTTTGTAAGCTTTTTAATAACCGTTAATTTTTAGGGACTGAAAAAATTTTAAAGAGAAAACGTAGTAGTTTTTTGATAAAAAATTTACTCTTTGATTTAGTTCGGTTTGTTATACAAGCTATTAGGACTAATTAATACTCTCTCCGTCCCATAAAATTCTTCTCACTTTCTTTTTTGGGTCATCTCAAAAAATTCTTCTCACTTATCATTTTTGGACAATTTGTGTGGTTCACATTCATTTCACATTTTTCTTACACAACCACAACCATACATTTCCACTTTCTTAATCTCCGTATCAAGTCAAAGTGGGAAGAATTTTATGGGACGGAGGTAGTACTATGTACTAAAAGTCACAGACTTTTTTCAGATGTTACTCCCCATAGCATCTAAAAAAAATTATTTTTTAAAAACTCTTAAAAATTGTCATGTCAAACATATAACTAGAAGCTCTAGAAGACTTTTTGAACAGTACAAAAGCTAGAAGATAGAAACTTATGTCCGCCAAACATAACCTAACACAAATACTCCCTCCGTCCCCCAATTAAGTTCCCGGTTTGACTTCACACGTATTAAGAAAATAAATTTGATTTTACTGTGGAATGCACTGTTTTGCACTGTTCAAACACTGTTTGACACTATTTGGCACTGTTTTGCACTGTTTGACACTGTTTTGATGTATATAATTTGCCAAATAAGGAAAGTAAGAAAGCGTCAACTTAATTTAGAGACTAACAAAAAAGGAAAGTGGTAACTTAATTGGGGAACGGAGGAAGTATTACCTCTCACATTTTATTAGAGAAAAATATGACTACATTATATTTTGACAAAGCAGTTACTGACCTTCCATTTCTTCTTCTAAAAAATCATCCCCTTCTCATTTCAATATTCATTTGCTTTCTCCTTTTGCACACGAACTCCAGGGACGACAGACCAAGACTTCGATGGAGAGAAGACCTCCATAGATGATGATGGTGACCTCCAACGAACACGAAGATGACCACCACTGCGACACCAATGAGAAGAGGCGGTGATGTGGCAGACACTGTGGCAGAGTGGCTAAGGCTTCGATGCAGCGGCGTTATTGGACTAATGATAGGAGGCGATTGGGCCTTCGAGGAAGCGTCGGTTTCATCGTGCTGCTCCACCGCCGTTGCAGCCTTGCAGGTGTGCATGAAATGTGGGCGCAGCTAGATCGGGGTTGTTGGGGTCTGGTCTGGGCTAGATCAAAGTTGGTTGGGGCTAGATCGGGGTGGCTGGGGTCTGGTTTGGGCTAGATTGTGGCTCGTCGGGCCTAGATCGGGGCTGTTGAGGTCTGGTCTTGGCTAGACCGGGGCTGGTCGGAGCTGGGCTATGGACAGGGAGGGATGTTGGGGTTGGGGTGCTGGCACGTGGGGCTAGGGAAGGGAAGGGATGTGTACGAGTAGATGGTGGGGCCGGCCGGCCCGCAGGTGGCCGGCAGATTTGGTTGAAAACTATGACTTATGTCACTGACACTTTTGATCAGTGTCACGGTGGGTGGCGGCGGTGACCGGTGACGATGGCAGTTGTACGTGAATGGCGTCGAAAACGGTGATTGTGACATGGCAATGACGGCAGTGACATCCGAAAAGTGACATGACTATGGGATAGTGACATGAATAGTTGATTGTCACTTTATTTTAGTCACATTTTTCTCCAAACGTAAATATGGTCACATTTTTTAAAATCAACTTTAGTTTAATAATAATAAGAGAAAACCTCCTTAAACTTTTATTTAAATTTATGTTCTATATCCTCCTTGTTGATTTTTATTTATCACAAAGACAATAAAAAATCTGATCTTAATTTGCAAACCTTACATATTGAGATCATCATGATACTCACCTCTCACCCATGTACTAATTCAGGACTAGTCGACTTGTTTGTGGTTCCGGACAAACAATTAGTCAATTCTAATATGATAGTAAAATCAAATCATGAGGTACTTGTGATGCCTGAGTAAAAAATAAAAGAAAAAGTGCACTGAAATTCTTAGCGAGAAGAAGAAACAATTGCGGAGATGTGAGGTTAGGGGAGAGGGCTTTAAGGAATGTTTATTGGGAGTTCAAGTATAAAACTTCACAGTATTTGTTTATTTTTTACAAATTTTATACATCTGTGTGTGCGCGCGCATCACAACTGATTTATTTGTGAGGAGGGCGGGCGAGCCCTCTCCAACCCCTCTCCTCGTTGTTTCCACCATTGACTGATGGCTTGTATATTAATTGTTTAGAACTATCTCCATTGCATAATTTTGTACAGGAAGAGGTTGTGCCGTTATTATCAAATGTTAGTTTATGTGGTTGATATTGAATTGAAAAATAAGAATAAAAATATAATGATTTATAAATAACACAAACAATACCACATTTTGGTACGAATCGTTTTTACCCGACAAATAAAATGGAAAGACGAGATGAGGCGTGTTTGACATTTAGCGGTTAGCAGATTATGTTAGTGAATTGTTAATAGCGAATTCAGTCAACGAGTTTGACTAACAGGATAAGTTTGTTGGTTGTCATACGATTTTTCGTAATTTAGTTGGTTGGTTGTAACAATAAGTAGAAAGCGCCATATTTTAAAATGCTACTCCAAAACTTTCTTATTTGCGGCGTTTCCATTTCAACGGTTCCGTCCAAAACGCTAGGACCGAACAACTATTTACAAGACATCGTTTCACTTATTAAAAGCGCTAGAGGGGGTCAAACCATCACATTTTTTTGCTGAAACATCATTTTCCAACCCCCCGCCCCATAATCTCAACACGGCACAGAGAGTATTGGATAAGAGAGTATAAGAGTAATTTGGTATTCTATTTAGAAAATTATAAACATCTAGAACTCGTTTGGTAATACCAAAATCGATTGAATCGGTTAATTTTGCTGAAATTTATGAAATGGTTGTTGAAGTGACTGAATTGGCTGATTCTGCTGATTTATGAAAAAATTATGTTTAAAATATACGTATTTATTAATAAAATAAATTTTGTTTATGAAAAATAACTAAAATAATCCTTTACAATTATTTTAGCCAATATAGTAGGAAAGTAACTCTAATTTTTCTTTTTATTATTATTATTACATAAGCAAAAGAACGGCACAAATATTACCTCCCATGTTTTATTGGCAAAAAAATATGACTCTATTATTTTTTGACAAAAAAAGTGACCGTGACCCGGCACTTGCTGCGCACGAATCCCAGGGAGCCAGGGACCTTCTGTTTCTTCCATCCTCCTTCTGCGCACAAATCCTAGGGTCCCAGGGACAAGGCAAGGCATTGACGCAACACCCATCTCCTCCGCGCACAGAGCACCGTCCTTCTCCTCCGCGCACAGAGCAGTCAGACCGCCGTTTCCTCGACCGTCTTGGCCGTCTCCATCGCCTGTCACTGCCTTGGTCGTCGCCGGCTTGTCGCCATCGAGGCCTTGGGGAAGCCGTCACCTGCTTATTCAGATCTGCGGCGGGTAAGGTTCTAGTTCAGTGGCAACAGTTTTACTTTTCAGATCTGAGGCTAGGGTTCGATGATGGCGGCAGTTAGGTTAACAAGCGGACAAAGGTGGGAGAGGGAGAAACGTAGGTTGTCGTGGCGGGCTTGGCCGCCGGGAGCAAGGGAGGGGAACATGGTGGGCAGCGAGATTGGGGGACGAGGGTTGGATGTTGGGGCTGAGGGCGGGTTGGTGGTGGTGGTGACTGGCGGTGATGACCGGCTATGGTCGGGCCATTGTGATGGTGGCGGGGGCATGGGGATGGGGAGGGGCAGTAGGTGGTTTGGCGGTGTTAGTGGTATGGTGGTGCTGGCGGAGTGTCACTGAGCGGATGGCGGCGTCACTGTGGTTGGCGGCGGTGATCGGCGGCGATGACGGAGGTGACTGGCGGTGATGGCAACACGGGCGATAGTGACATGCGACAGTGACATCCGAATGTGACATAAAAATTAGAGTTTTCCGGAATAATGCTAATTAAATAAATAAGTCCCGAAATACTGTCGGGTTAATAATAATTCCCAAAATACTGCTGTGGTTAAGTACGATTAAGGAAAATCACTATAAGTGGTGGCTCTTGTATAGCTTCACAAGAACCGCCACTTGGAGTGGCGGCTTTTATACAGCGTATAAAAGCCGCCACTTCAAGTGGCGGCTCTTGTGTTAAGCAGTATGTTGGACTTTTTATTACACAAATGGACCAAATGAAGCTGTAGTTAGCAGGAAATGTCCTCATCACAATTCATTCTACTCAAACACACAACCAAATATGTGATTTACTAAGACAAAATACATCTGAAACACAAAACGAATCAATGAAACTCATTGCATTGCAACACTTGAAATAAACATAAAAGTTATAATAAATCCGGTGTTTCACAAAATGTTTCGATCTGCCAGTGCATGTTACAACTCTCACACAATAATATAAATACAAAGATCATAGGGCAACATGATCATCATCATCATGAAGTTCATGTGGTTGTGGTTGTGCTCGGCGGCGCCTGCGCTAGTTACGAGGCTGAAGAACAACTCTATCACGTCTAATTGCCTGAGAAGACCCTGTTGTGGATGTAGATGCGGTAGAATGCTTAGAGTCGGTCATATATCCATAATCCACTCGACCCAATACATCACCGCACAGAGCAACAATGCCCGAACAGGTGTCATGATATCCCTGTATATCTATCGCCTCATCAAGTACAACAGTCGCTTTGTCATGGATGTTACACAAAGCACGTGACTGTAATGCAAACATGGTTATTACTGAAAAAATATATGAATAAATAAATAAAGCTATTTTATTGACTATATTGTTTACCGTCATATGAAGAGCGACTGAGCTAGGCTGGTAATGATCAGTGGGTAAACGAAAGCTCGGAGAGATGAACACCTGTGTGAT